CAAGACACCCCCATCGGCCGATGGACGATCGATTCTCATGATCCATCGCCGGTCAGTCGATGCGCACCGCCGCCGGTCCACTCGCCATCATCCCGATCCGCAATCCCGATCCGCGAGTTCAAATTGGAAATATTCACAAATTAGGTAAGATTCTCATCTATATTCTTAGAATATTCAATTTCTCAATCTTTCGGATGTTTGAATATTTCGTGAATAGTGTGTGGATTGCTAGATATCTTAGGATGATTTGTGCTATATCCGCAATATTCGAAAATACCCAAAATTAGGAATCATTCCTAATTTGGCAACGTATCTGGACGACTATCCGACTACGATATGCGGCGATACGGAAAATCGTTATCTTGTCCATAATCACTTGGATACGATAATAGATTTTATTTGCTTTCCAAATTTAAACAATCAACTTTCTGTCGATATCTATAACCCTATAGATATGACCGTTAGTTTCTTTGCCTTATCTGAATTTGAAGAATCTTGCGGATCGCGTGGATTGTTTGAGTGCGGTTGTTATCTTTATTTGATTGCTTTCTTTTTTTTTAAATAAAGAAAATTCCAAAAAAAAAGATTAGTTAGGATTTGAATTGGTCTTATTAGAAGATAATGATGCATGTTTAGGATAGGTTCAGAATAACTTTCTTTGAATAAGTCAATAGGATAACTTTTTAATTTAAATTAGGAATTAGAGTAATTTATTTCCTAGTTTAATTTAGATATTATCCCGATCTCGATGGTTCATTTTAGGGTAATTCTTGATTTCGAATTTTCATAAAAATACCAAAAAGAAGTCAGTTTAGGATAGATTAAATTATCTTTTAGAATAGATTGCATGTTAATTTAGGCATTTTTTAATTCCGAATTCCATTGGAAAAATACAAAAAAAAATAAATCATTTGTCCGTCATTAGCATTAGGTCACGTCGTCGTATGACATAGTTCGCATGCTAGGTTGCATTGATCGCATGTCAATTTTTGCATATAGGTTAGTTTGCATTTTAATAAAGCGCAAACCCTAATGAACACCTTGAGTACCTTGCTTTGTTAATTAGAAATCATATTAGGATTGTCTGTGTGATTTTCTACTAACAATGCAGATGCTTGCTTGGCTTTAAGGTATGTTATCCTGCTATTTATTTACTGCTTTCTTGGGTGTTAAATTGGTGGTTTGCGCACCCGCATGAACACCTCACATGTTAGTGATTAGGCAATAAAATGGATCCAGACTGCATGCATAAATATTTTTTGAAAAGAAAAGGTACCGAAAGTGCATTAGACTAGATCTAGCGTAATCAAGTCCCCAAGCTTAGAATCTCTGGTTCGTAGGAATAAAATATATCTCCCTATGTTTTATTTAGGTTTCTAATCGACCTACCACAAATAGATTAGTGGCGACTCCAAGCACGAAAACTTTTGCATGTTAAAGACTTAAACCCTAAGTTGCGAATTGGTAGGGCTTGGGAGGGCCCAAGTTAGGCTTAGTCTTAACAATCCATTAGCCTGAGAAATTTTAGGTCGCGACAACGAGGCGACCCATGCCCTCACCAGAGTTGGCGAGGGCATCCCGGCCTTCGCCGACTTGGCCGGGCGAGGGTCCCCTCGCCGAATCTAGCGAGGGACCTCACGACGGCGAGGCCAGCGAGGGTTGGACGAGGCCGCACATGCCCTAGAGTGAAAGAAAGAAAAGAGAAGAAATAAAGAAAATGGAAAATAAAATAAAAAATTAATAAAAATTAATAAGGATATTCAAAAAATTATTTAAAAATTATTTTTAAATGTCCACGATAGCGCTAGTCGTGTCACGTAGGACGACTGGCATCCACGTCAGTAATTTCTGGCCTAAATTGGCCAGATGAACTGAATTGGTACAGATGTGAAAAGGTTTAGGACTAAATTGGTCCAATTGAAGGTTTAGGACTGAATTGGTACTAATATAATATGTTTAGAACTTTTTTGGTACTTTTCCCTCTTATTAATACTTGTATAACCTACGTAGGCCCAATATCGATAGACTCGTAGGCCATGAAAGTATTTCATGTGGGCCTTATGAATTGGCAATAAAAGCCCTGCTCTACTTGAAACTTTCACTTAGCGAAACTTAAATTTTAATTGAGAAAGAACATTTCTAATGGTGTTGTCGTCTTTGCTATTGAAACCTTCAAAACTTTCAAGAGATTAAGGTCTCTCATAGGATCTTATCTACGTGAACTGATCTTATTTACATCTAGTCACTTTCACATGTTAGACTTAAAAATTTTTGAGTTAGATAATCTAACGATATCTATGAAATGCTTCCTTGAAGTCAAGTTTAGAGCGTCGTTACGCTATTAGGGGTGTACAAAATAACCCGCTAGTATGCAAACTTGGACCACCCTGAACCGATTTTTTCAAGATCAGATTTGTTCCGGACTGAGCTATTGAGGTAAAAAAGTTTTAAAAGTTTGGGCTAGTTTAGGCCGGTCCGGGCTATCGGGCTTCAGATGCCCGAAACTTATAAAGAAATCAACCTTTAATCTTAGATATTTAAAGAAGTCGAAAACCTTAGCAATCTTAACTCCTTTTTGTTCACCCTCAAACTTTCCTTCACGGCTCTCTCGTCTTCAACTTCACGAACGACCTGTATCTCTATCTCTCGCTCTCTCTCGCATCCTCGCTATGCTCGCTTGACTGTCGACATAGCTAGCACCATCGAGCCATCACTGCACAACACATCTCTCTCTATCTCTCATCTTCCCTATTAGTCCTTAAAACATGTCTTTTAATTGATGGCTATACGTGGACATCATTCATATTCATACTTAATTAAGTTGCATGTGAATAATATTCATAATTTGTAATCCAACACCAACAATCAATGACGCATGGGTTGGAGGGAATTTCCTCCAACAAAAAATAGCCCTTTTGCACTAACAAAATCTTCCAGACAGGAAAACCCTACGTCGACGGAAAAGAGAAACATAAAACTGATGGAAGTGACAATTTTGGACACGACAATACATCATAACGGTCCCTGGCACACCATGCGCCTACAACACAGGAGTCTGACATTTCCTACGCTTATCTATCTTGTCGTTTAAGATTTGATTTACTTCAAAAGTGACGCAAGAAGTAGAGGGTTTATCGACAGAAAACTTGATGATGGTCGAAATGGTTAATGACGTAGCCTATCACCCATGATAGAGTGCTCTTCCTAGGCTTCTAGAAGCCGCGAAGAAGATTACACATTAAACAAAATAGTTTTGCCTTACGATTAGATGAATGCTCTAATTAAACTCTTTAACCCTATGCACGTGAATGGGCGACGAAGATAAAAACGCTAGGGAAGAAAAGGTGAGGAAAACGATTTCTCAGCTGTTGTTTGGAAAGGGCATAAAAACGGAAGTGAAATGAAGAATTTGACTGTGTAATTCGAAGACAAAAGAAAAATCCCGGTGAAAAAAAAAATATGACGAAGTGAAGACATTTTTGTGCCTCTTAATATACTGTTCCCATGAAGAAAAAGTTAGGGGTAGTTTGGGAAGTTTCAAGAAAAAGGTAAAGAAGCGTGAGTCTGGACAGGGGTAATGATTCTCCCATGAACCACGGGGCGATCTCAAAGCGATCGTACACCTCACTGGATCGAAGGCTTCAACCGATTGAATGTAACAGTTTAATTTTCATAAGCCGACTTCGAATAGTTTAATGAAAATAGACCGAATGACCCTGTCACCAAACATGAATGTAAGAAATGACAAAGTCGCAGAATGTTTCTGGATGGTGTCGCCGTGCTAGCGCCAGCCAGGACTCTTTTGTCGTGATTATCCATAAATGCACGACGGTCAATGTGGCCTATTTTCATTGGGCCAAAACAAGATCCGGAGGGGCACTTTCTTGAGGAGATCTCGGCAATTTTAAAAAGATTTGCTTATAAGAATGTCACGACAAAGAAGAGACGCAAACAGCAGCAAAGAAAGGTTGCCCCAAACCCAACCCAAGAGATTGTCAAAATCTGCCGCGACCAAATTTCACACAGAAGTTACAGTGGGTCTTTCCGAAGTTTGGTTGGCGTTATCATGAAATTAGGCGGGGCGTCACTAACATCACAAGATTAACAAGGAGAAACTACTAATAAAACAAAGTCACAGTCAACAAACCATAGAAAAAGCAGACCACGTCATTTCAGCCGCAGATGGCAAGTCGAATAGTCAAATCAAGAAAAACTAAACAGTTAAAAGAAATCAAATCTGGAGTCATTAGCGGGAAACGAGACTTCTGATAAGGAACCGCGGCCAAAAATGAAATTCGATATGGGGTTACAACGGGGGATCGGTCCCTCAAGGAAAATCCTTAATCCTATTTATGCAACTAATCCTGCAACTTTATTCACCACAAGGAAATAACTGAAGAATTTTTAGCTAAGTACTACTATGTTGATCTTTTTCAAAATTTAAGGCAAACCTAGAAAGCATCTTTATCAAGCCACATGGTAGCAAGAGAACCCACACGAAACGTAGGAATATGTCTCTTATAACCCTCCAAGTTATGGAACACAGCTTCAGGAACAAGGAAAAAAAGGCGTAACTCACAAGCTCATGGAAGCAAATTCAAGATGTGATTCAATTCACCAAAAGGATTGTTGACTGGCACAACTCCGATGGAGTATTCTTTCACGTAACTCCAGCATGCACTCGCAATGTTTCAAAGTCAAAGTTCAAAAGGATGAGAAAGCAAGAGGCCAAATCTGGCAGAGGACACCGCCTAATAATGGCAATAAAAGATTGTATAGTGTAATTATAACGAAATGTAGAATGTGTTCCTGAAGATAAGAAGAAATGAGAAACGGTTCATAGGTGGCACAAGCAAAATGTTTGGTGATTTGGGTTACTTAGGGATATAAAACACAACTTAGCGAGTAAGTAACTAGTGTCTTTCTATTTTTGGACAAAGACCAGCTTGATGCTGCGGAGATATTTATATGACCGATTGCACGAGCAGAACAATAGTCCATTCAACAAGAAATCCAGAAGAACGAACCTTTCCATTTGTAAGATAACGCGAAATCATATTCTCTTCATCATTTAGAGAATTCAGAACACTGGCAAGCTGTAAGCAGAAAGTAAATGCATACAGTTTCCCCAGCATAGAAACCTTTTTAAGGACCATTATAACCAGACTCCATATCTATGTACATACCCATATGCATGCTTATGTGCCACACGCGCAGCTTCTTAAACACAATCATGGACTTAGATCTAGACAAACAATTGATAATATTAACAGGAGGAGAACCTCAAACTGTGGCTGCCGATCTATATAACTCCCAGCAGATCCAGTTTCCCCATTAGTCAAAGGACATAAACAATGTAATGCCAATCGCTCTTTAACCTGAGGAAATTCAAACAACAAATTGAAAAACAAAAAGGGTTATGTCAATGCTTTAAATTCTTCAACATGAAGAGATTGTTTCAACAAAAAAAAGACCACCAAAGGATTGGTAGAGATGGATTATATGCACCAACGGAGTGAACATACTGGCATTTACAATTTTTTTGCCTTCAAAACTAATAAAATGAGGTCGATCTCTCATAGGAAGTTGTTCAAGAGTTTTGACTAAAAGGACTTATCATGGGAAGATCAAATAGTGCTTCCCTGATACTGCAGGCGAATCCAAGACTAGAGGATAAAAAGAGAGAACACAGATTTCTTAGACCTCTAAGGCTTTCCATTAGATGCTTTGAGCTGTCCATTTGTCGATATATGGTTGTTGTCATTGCTGTTACAGCTAAAAATATTAATCAAGTTCTCACTAAAGCATGACAGGCGACGAAAGATCCCTATAGACATCATGAGCTTGACATTATAAGGCAATAATAGAACTGGATGGACTTGCAAAGAATGGAAAATTTTTAATGTTGGTAAGCTTTTAGTCCATCTAAACCAACTCTTCTCCAGTCCACTCAGAAAAGAATCATCGAAAAAAACACTAACTATACATCTCCTTAAACTCAAGCCGTTAAGTATTGTAGACTTTATTCAATTATCCTTATCAGATGAAAAATTTGCCATTACAAAGTGCATGTATCAGCAACCGTACCCTGTTCACGGATTTTCATCCTTACTCAGATCAATTTGACCAGTAACAGATGCCATAGATGGTTCCCTGCAAGAAAGATGATCATTTGGGAGACAATCAACTCGTGAGCATAGTTGAGTGGATTAGACTTGAACTTGAAGGTCTAAGTACAGATTCAAGTTATAGCACCGTATAGTCATATACTACCTTAGATTAGTGCACTTAAGTTGATCGCATGAAACAGTGCTTAAGTTACAATCCTGAGCACCAGGCATTGCAACATCGGATTTGTTCTCATCCTGCAAAGGCCAGCACAAGTATATAGTTGACATTTGACGAAGAGCAGAAATGAAGTTTACCCTCACAAGAGAAACTTACAGTAGTTTTTGCTACTTCCCAATAGGGAATATTTTCAGCTAGAAGAGAAATGTATCGCTCCATTGCCACATCCGGGCTCATGTTCCCTAGCCTTTGCCAAGCATTCCTTGCACAACGTAAGCACTTCCCTCCATCACTCACACATAGCAGCTGTCAACCCTGTTATATACCTAGCAATCAAACTATACCGCGTAACTCGGCACAGCGCAAGCCCTAAGTTTTGTGCATGTTTGCTTTCTTGGTTTCAGTTTGAAAAGGTTTCCTATGGAACTTTGAGCAACACAATTCCTCATAATGCAGGTGCTTTTGAGGGACTCAAACTTTCTAGTCGATCGATTTTTATGCAGTATGCTTCCCATCTAAATTATCAACAATTATCTTCTTATTCAATGATGAGCAGCTCCAAACTTAAGTAAGTGGCTCAAACCAGACACCTGCACAATGTGGCTGAGAGCCAGAGAACTGGAAATGCCCCTCATTGTCATCTGGATTTCACCAGTCTAAAATGACAGGTGGAAGTACATCTATTTTGATTTGGACACCAGAAAACAAATGTTTGGATCAACGATAAGAAACTTAGACAGGAGTAAACTATCATTTCATCATCTGCATTGCAAATCATAATCCTGTACCCTTGGTCAACAAAGCTTCTACTAAGACAGTTTCATGAATTTGTGTAGCTTTTGGGCAAAACAAGCAGAAGAATTGCATAATCCACTGCACTCGATGAGGAAAGATCTAAATCATTAATTACTTCTCCCTTCCGTTATTTCAAAGGCTAATTGACAACCCCTAGCGCCCTTCTTTCCTTAGCATTATCAAAAGTTCCGATATTCTAAGTAGATGCTTTCAACTCATTCTCTGTTTCAGGGTCCAACAGCCAAAATCCATTCTTTAATTCTAATTGCGCCTAAAGTGCAAAACGAAGAATACCTCGATCTTTCAATTCCGAAAGCCACTAACCAAAAACGAACAGATCACCACGCGCATAAGCAAAGAGATAGTGCAGGAGCTATGGTACCACTTAGCACGGGCAGAGACCATGAGAGCCATAGGCTGCGGTTCGCGGCAAGGCCCTTCGGTGGCCACTTTGTGAAGCCCGTAGAGCTGCATTTTCACATCGCTGCCGACACTCTCCACCCGATCGTCCATGTTTGCAGGGTCGACATAGTTCGCCGCCAGTGCGAATTTCTTCTCCAACTCACTCCTCTCGATCCCCTCCCAGTCGTCGTCGTCGTCGTCGTCGTCGTCGCCCACCCTCAAAACCTCTCCTTCTTTATCAATTTGCTCTCGTTCGTGCTCTGGCTGCTCTGCTCGCGCCGTTTCCGCACTTTTAGGCACGTGAGGTTGCGACTCCTCGTCTTCTCCTTCGAGCGAAGGACGGTCACCGTCTTCTTTGGCCCCACCGGAACGACATTCGCTCTCTTCCTCCACGGCTAACTCCGACGCACCGACACTCTCCTCCCCCTTTGCTTCGGCCGGCAATTCAGCAGCCACCGACGATCCCTCCACCGCCTCCCCACGCGCCGTCCCAACCTCTTCGCCGCACCGCACCGGCTCACCATCTCCCTCCACGGAAGCAGCCTCGCCTCCAAACCGATCAACCTCACCCGCAGTCCCCCGCACGAGCTCGACTCCCTCCACGCTCGGGGATCCCCGATGAGAGCTCAGCCTCGCCTCGAACTTCGCATCCTCCACCGCCGGAGCGCGATCCACGCCCTCGCTCCCGCCGCCGCCGTCGTCGCCGCCGGCCATGGCCACCGACACGAGCTTGGCGACGACGAAGGAGAGGAGGACGGCGAGCACGGCCGTCGCGAACAGCTCGCGGACCCACTCCATGATCGGGAAACACGTGCGGGAGAGAAGGAAGGAGACGGCAGAGAGACGGAGCGATGAGGGACTGGAGAAAAAGCTGCTGGTCACGGGGGGCCGCGGGAGTTAGGCGGGGTGGGGAGAAGAAAAAGGAGAAGACAGCCAAAAGCTGAAGAGAAGAAAGCGAAGGAGGAGAAGGAGAAGGCGGAGGAGGAAATTATCTTAGAGAGAGAGAGAGAGAGAGGGGTAAAGGGAGGGAGGAGATGGATATTTGCAGAGCAGAGGAAAGGTATATTCTTTTGCAAATTTCCATCTTTCCCCGCTTTCTTCTTTTCTTTCGTTCGCGGAAGGCCAAGGCCCCCCAGGAGTTTCTCTCTCTAGGAACGGATGCTTTAACTGGAACTGGTAAGGTAACTGGTTTTTTATTACACGTTCCTTTTTTTTTGGTTCGGCCCGAGGAACAAGCTTTTGGTCGGGTTGATTTTTCTTTCCAATTTGCATCTTCAAAAGATCTTATTATTATTAACAAGTTTGGAAGTTCAGACATTCAAGTGATTAGATAATGTTATTTTCCAAAGCAATGTCTCTTTCGTCATCGTCATGTGTGATGGCTGCATCCGGAATCAAAGCATTTCTTTGTTACGGCTCCGCTCGTTCCGTGAAAAAAATAAAAGATTCGGAAAATTTCTTTCCGAAGGCAGTTACTTACATTTTTTTTTATAAAAAATGAATGAACGGAAAATATTTTTCATCGTCCACAAAAGATGTTTAGATATGAATTGTTGTTGACCATGAAAACATATTTTCCATTGAGTGATAATTTCAAGCGATCGTTTTTAGGAAAAATATTTTAAGATCGTTCATTTTCCGCAAAACAAGTGGAACCTAAATATGTTGTTAACCATTGCTCCGGGATGGACCTGATCATTAATCTAGTGGCCTGCAACCCTCGGCCGAGCCAAGCTCAGGCCACGAGGGCCTGAAGGTTGTTTGGGCGAGGCTTGGGCAACGACATCTAATGAGAAAACCTTATCTAGAGATTTGTATATAAGAATTTTATGGTAGGCGAGCATGGACCAACTTTTGAGCCTGGCTTTAAGGCACGGTCCAACCCGGCATCAACCGACCAGTGATCACCTCTCCTCCGGAGCATTCGTTAATAAAATCTCATTTATAAATTGGATTCTTCCATATTAAATTTGCTTGATAAGTATCTCAAAAATGCTCACTTACATATCTTTACTTAAAGTGATCGGTTTCAAAGTGGGTAAGTTCCAGATTAAGAACCTGAAACTATCCTGTCAAAGCCGATTTCCAGCTTTTGGGATCAAGAAACAAACCGATCGACCTTGGAACTGACCAATTTCAATGTTGACCTAGGAACATGCCTACTTTATGTTTTTCTATTTCTTTTTTTATTTAGTTACTTCATCATATGCATTCTTTTTTTTGCATAAGACGCCGTGATGGTATACTTAGTTGATATGCTCAACCTCATTATTTTTCCAAAAGCTCTTAATTAAAAGACTTGTAGGGTTTTGTTTTGAACCGGTTCAAAACCGATTCTACCCGAGAGCCAGCCTTGAAACCGATTCCAGGCCAAGAACTAGGAACTAGATCGATCAAGGTCGGGTCCCAAATTTTTTACCCTAGAATCAAACTTGTTCTCGTGTGAAGCAGCTTGGAACCGATTTTGAACTGGCCCGTTGCTCTCGCTAATCTTTACGAATACAATATAGAGGCTAAACTAACTTGAATATTATATATAATTTACTCATGGTCAGAGGAAAACAATTTTATTTCCCTTATTGTTTATTTTAACATACCATGAAAAAGTCAGTATATTGACAATTATAATCTTAGGTAAACTGGTTACTTATCAGACATCGAAAAAGAGATTCGGTTGACATTTACTGTAGCTTCAATTATTCATGTTGCTCGGTATTATTATCGTAACATTCCTAAGATGAATGCAATATGTTTCTTATTGTAAACGGAGGAAAAGATATCAATTCGTGTTGTTATACGTAAAATTAAAAATGTTTTAGATCAATGCTCGTTCTTTTTTCATGACTCGGTTGAAAATTGTCACGTTTCTCTGAGGGTGCATTTGGAAGGCGCCGGGGAGAGAAAATCCTCATCATTTTAATTTCGCTTCTCTCTTTTTTTTTTCTCACACGAATTTCGAATCATTAAATCACTTTTTTCAGCTAAATTTTCATCCCCCTTATCTTTCCCAATTTTCCAAGAGCTTTATTCTTTTAAGGAAAAAAACCACCAAAAGTTCAAATTTTGCTCTCATGATACATTTACCCCTACTTTTTTTTGTATGACACCAAAAACCTAGGAACTGCTTTTGTTTACACATTTACTCCCAATGTATTTAGTCCATGGCATTTTTGTCTTTTCTGCTTTTTTCCTTTTTTTTTTTTTTTTTTTTCCTTTCCCTGTGCAGGGGCCTCGTCACGGACCGGGCTCGGGATCCGAGGGGGCCTCGCCGGCCTCGAGCGAGGGCGGCCCTCGCCCAGCTGTTTGGCGAGGTTCGCCCTCGCTCGGCGAGCCGAGGGTCCCTCGCCCCGACTCAGCGAGTCGACCCGCGGCCGGCGAGGGGTCGACCGCCTCGCGAGCCCGAAGCCCCGCCTCGCCGCCAGTAGGCGAGGTTGCCGGCGTCGGGCGAGGTTCGCCCTCAGCCCGGGCGGCGTAGCGAGGGCGGCCCTCGCCCAGGAGCTCAGCGAGGTCGACCGCCCCGACGCCGGCGAGGGTCGACTCGCCCGAGCCTGCGAGTACCTCCCGCTCGTCACTACAAAGGAACCTCGAACTCGCCCGACCCGGCGTAGGCCGCCCTCGCCGGATCCTATGCCGGAAGCGGACGGCGAGGCCCCTCGCGGAAGGAAAAAAAAAAAGAAAAAGCGAGTAAAAGACGAAACGCCCGACTAAATACATTGCAATGTAAATGAGGTCACAAAAAGAAAGTCGTAAAGCTTTTACAGCCACAAAAAGCTGGGTGAATGTGGTCATGATGCATTTACAAAATTCTGCATGGTGCTTTTTCCTTCTTTAACCAAGTCCTTAGCACTTTTTAATTCTTTTTTATTTCTTAATACCATTCTCCTTTATTTTTTTCGTTTAGAAAGAAAAAAATTGAAGGAGGGATGGAGTGGGACCCGGTAACAGCTGGCAATGTCGGAAAAAGCCACGGGGGGTGGGGGGAAGGGAGGGGGGCGTACGAAAAGCGCACAAAACCCCGTTCCCAAGTTCCCCCAGTGACGTGGCGGCCCCGTTTGCTTGCGTCACCGCCGCTTAACTGCCGTCGTGGCAACTTCTCTCCCCCCCCCCCCCCCCCCACTCGCTTTTCCGGGCGCGTCCCGTTCGGTGTCCGATCCGACCGGGACACTCGATTGGCCCAAAGGGACCATCGTCCTTATGACATTCCGCATGAGCCACGTGCATCGTTCCTTTTTGTCCTTCGGACAAGGCAATTTCGAGACGACAGTGCTGAGGCATTACGGGGTCCCATGCTCTACTCATGTTTGCTAAACTTTTGCAAGGGGAATTTGATGGTGCACGGATTTCGCGAGTTCAATGAGTAAGTCATCGATGCATCCTACGGCCTATTATTGATGGAGTCCGTCCTTATGGTATGGATTGCAGAGTAGGGGATGTTTAACGGGTTGGATTGGAATCGGGTTTTCTCCAAGAAATCCAAACCGAACCGAACAAGACGGGTCGATGTCATTTCCAACCCGAAACACGACCTAAGTTGTACTTAAAGCAAAGAACCGATTCGGGTCTTTCATTTTTTTGCCTTTCCCCCCCTTTGTTTTAGGTAGAAGTTTTTGTAAAGGCTGATCGATTGAGATGCTTCTCGAATCTGTTGGAATTTGTTACTAAATGATAGGGACCTTGCTTCTTCGTAAGGCTAACCTATTCAAATACGTTTGGACAAACTTGACAACAACCTCCTCGCAGGAAGGTGTAATGAAATTGCATACAATGCGAATAATATGATTGCAAAATCAAATCCTTGCTTCCTACGAAAATGCCTTCCTTAGACTACTCACCCAAGCTTCCACAAAGGAAGCAATGCATGCCAAAACAAAGTTGGTCAATTTTTTTAAGTCCGCGCACTTTTCGTCCCATTTTTATTGCATGCGTCCCTACCACCTTGAAATGACATCATTATCCCTCGTGGGTCCCCTATTATATTTCAACATTTCCTTCGTATTTGTCTTGTTCTGAAATTATTCTCCATTTTCCACTTACACGAGAGCTTAACCATTCGTCATAATCCAAGCAAGCACAAATCATGCATCGGAGTAAAGAAAGGTTAGTTTTATCCGCACATTGTTCCCTTTATTTCCCCTAGATTCTCCTCATGATCATGAATTTTTGTCTTCGATTTTCAGTACAAATTTGTGAAAATTTAATCAAAGATTGAATATTATGGTTGATGTATGCTTTACACAATTTGCTCATCTCTCATTGTATTATTGGATTTACCAATAAAATGACGCAAATTAAAGTTAGAATTAAATCATCTGCATTCATTAAAACTATTAGACGATTCTTGTCCCTCTTATTTGGGCTTAGGTTATTGTTAGAATAATGGTTTCCCAGTACAAAATTAAAAATATAAATATACAGCTCATTAACACAATAACTAGTTATCTATATGCAATATAAACTATTTTTTTTAAAGAAGGATGTCAGTTTCATCCCAAATAAAAGAAGAAGAAGAAACCGAATAAAAAGAAGATAAAAAAAGGCAATAAATAATCTTTTATTTTTTGTCGGCCAGGTGTATTCCTAGATTTTGGAGCTCCTCCGCTCCGCCTGGGGAAACCCTATGAACCCATAAACCCCACCTATTCGAAGGAGGGGAGTTTCAAATTCTCCCACCTCCCCATTCCCCGTGTGGGAACTGTGAGCACTAGGGCAAGCCCCCATTTGACTTTAGTCTTTGTTGCGTGCAAATAGAATTGTGATTGAAAAATTTTAAGTTCAAAAAACACACTAAAGTGGGACTCGAGGTATTCGAGAGTGGTAAGGGTAGTTTTGTCTTATAGTAAAGTTGAAAACCAAACAAACAGGAAAAAAAAAAGTGAGAAATAATGTTAAATTAAGAGAGGGACACGTAAAAAGATAATGTGGTTATATTATAATGATAGGTCTGTAGTAAAAAATGAACTGGAAAAAGCGCGGGTCTTCTCTAACGGGCAAAACTGAGCACAGATCAAGCATAAACCGCAGAAGAACTAAGAATCCTG